GTGCATCGAAATATTTTTTGTCCTCTTCTAGAAGAGAGTGTCTTTGGGTGTGGAATTACGAACAATCCCCCAGGAAGAAGCATTCAATTGAAGAGCTAAAATAGCCTTTCCACACATGTTAATTCCCTCTTCGATAGGGAATGCAGCACAGGGATCACTTTAGAAGAAACTTCTATTTACAAGCTCTAACAGCTTTGTACATGATGATTTCTTTCATGAGATATCTCAACCACTTATAATGTATTCTTACGTTTTCAAATATCAGGCAAACATAGTGACAGATGCTGCAAAGCAGCTGAGGAGATAGCTCTCTCCCTGTGATTGGTTTATTACATATTCCATTAGATAGTGCTGCTCAGCTGAGCTTTTGAAGGTGGAAGGTATGATTAACAGAGGAAGAAAGGCTTCTTATTAGTTACAGTAATGCACTGCCAATTGTAGGGGTGATCAAATATTGGTTCAGTCTTACCGCTGTTGCTTACTTTTAATTGGTATGAGTATATTTGATAAAGATGACAGAACTGCCCAGCAGAACAGAGGCCGTATGCAAAGTCACAGCCTCACTGCTCCTCTCGTTTAAGATCAGATTTATGCAGACTGACAAGACAAAGATGTATGAGAAAAACAGTTCAACAAGTGCAAAGAGATTATGGTATTGAACCTGAAAAATGAATCTGTTCATTACTTGAACAATGTAACAAGGCGGTTTATAAGGAATATGCTTATTTATTGTAAATGCTACAGCTAAGCTAAGGATTTTTGTTTTATCTGGATTTCAAATTCTCACTTCCGTCAGCATTATCTTGCCCAATATGCTCCCAAGCTTATTTTAATTTAGGATTTGACACTAGCGATTGCCTTTTTTTTCCCCTCAAAGGGTGAATTAGTTCTCAATAAAAGATGCCTATTAGGCAATCTATTATGCCAATAACTTGCAGAAAAAAGCCAAATTACCTTGATGGTGGATTATACTGAACAATAAAAAACCACACTCATCGTAATTCTCAGTGAACGCATAGTTTATCTGTAGTTTGCTACAGGAAGTTTCCTGGTAATAGTATCCACATTAGAGACAAATAGTCGTGCATTAGCAGTAACCACATTCATAGTGAAACAATGCCGACGGATCTCACTCAGATTTGTAATTATGTCTCATTATCCTTCAGCGGTCATTTTTAGCGCAGTTTGGAAGCAAAGCTTGTGTGATCATGGCGTATGGTGCATGCCCTGGCATTTCCTACCTGCTTATGTTAAAATCTGTCATCTGATTCCAACCAGACTGAAAGAGAAGTTGAGACTCAAACGACATTAACGTTCGTACAAATTTTACGCTAACAGGGAGTCAGGTAGAAGAAAAAGCTGACATTAATGGATTCAGAAGCTTGGCCTGAAAATATGAATTCATAGGAAACAGTGTCCTGCCTTGCTCCCAGAGCCGTTTCTCCCTCTGAGCTGTGAAACATTTTCTGTGGCATGCTGTGTGCCCGGCCACTTTTGCTGACCTCCCTGGCACCCGGGGACATCCGCAGTTTGGGGCACGGGGCTATTAGTCAACTGGAAAAGTAGGAGAGAGAGTTGCTGCAGTGTAGTAGCTACACATCATTAAGCTTACACAGGGATAAGGATATAGGTGGAGAGAAACATTTTCAATGCAATCTTGAAATGACAGATGGATTAACATTCCTAACCAGTAAAAGAAAGATTATACAAAATACATAGACGAGACTATCAAAATTATTCTTTCAAGTTGGATCAATGAGATGTAAAAATGCAAAAATATATACAAAAAATAGACTTTTACATTTGTTTAGGAGAATGTTTATATCCCTAAAATGTATCGAGAGGTAAATGCTCAACATTTTCATAAATGTCAAAATATATTCTCTTGAGTCACTGTCAAATTCTAGTTTCATTCTTAAAAGAATTTCTCAATGAATTATTTGGATTATTTCTTTATAATAGGAAAACTTTTGTTTTTCAAAGAAGGTTTTATCAAATAGCAATATTTTTTTTTTAACTGAAAAACAAAACAAAACAAAACAAAACAGGTTGTTGTGCAGATACTATGTGTAGCAAAATTGAACAGATGAGGGACCAATTCCTGGACCAGGAATGAACTGGTTTGCATCCATGCTGTGCAGGGGAAGAAGCCTCTAAAACAAACTGTCCTCATCCACGCTGCACAGAATGTCGCTGTGGCTCTCCTCGTGTGGTTCCAAGGCAATAATTATTATTATTTTATGTGTTTCAGTTCAGTGTCTGCAACACTGCAAGATCTATGTTGCAATCTGCCAGGATGTCCTTATGGCACAATGCGGAGCACTCGCTGCCTGTGCTGTGGTGTGGCCTGCAGACCTGCGGGAGTTTTAGGGTGTGCAGATCATATGGGAGAACGGTGCAGGGCAGAGGGACTTGAACCTCACACATTCCTGCCCATGCCACCTTTTTGGAGTGTTTCGTAAGTAAACTAACACCTGAATTTGCCCAGGTGGAGTGGTGGTTGGAACAGCCTGGAGTAGGGGCAGGGACACATCAATCAGTTGCGTAGTCGAGGGCTGTGGTGTTGCAGTCACTCCCCAGCCCCTTCGTTGAGTGGTGTGGTTGCATCCATTAAGATTGAGACCACAAAAGCTTTCCCAAAAAAGTGCCTTCAAACAAGAAGTAAGGCAACCTGATAATGTCAGTGAAGAAGCTGCTTTAATGTTCTTATCTCTTCCTGAAATACATGGGATACTTCTGCTTTGGAGAGTGATGACATATTTGAGGGTGGATTATAGCTTGCCGGTGTTTAAGCTCCGTGGCTCAGTTACGGATCCATGGCTTCCCATGGTTATCACACAAAAAGGAAGGTGGGCATGCTGATTTTGAAACAAAAGGGTTGGTATCTGCAGATGCTTCTTGCATGTGCCAGAGCAGAAAACAAATCCAGAGGCATTTTTCAACAGTTTGGCCCATAAACCCTTCCGTTTGTGAAATCCATAGGGGATTGTGAGAGACTCTAGATTAATTTTAAAAAGCTATTTATTGATGGGTCCCCTCGATGCCTAGAAGGGAAACGAATATCGGGTTATGCAATTATCGAGGGGCAGAAGATGGAAGTGTTTGAAAAGGGGAAATTACCTGCTGGGTGGTCAGCACAAGTCTGTGAACTCTGTGCCCTGAAACAGGCATTGGTATATTTGAGAGATAAGGAAGGGACAGTGTACACAGACTCAAAGTATGCATTTGGAGTGGTCCACACATTTGGAAAAATATGGGAAGAAAGAGGACTTATAAATACAAAAGGGAAGGAGCTAGTACAGGAGCAGCTGATCAGAGAAGTTTAAGAAGCCCTGAAGCTCCCTACAAAAATTGCAATTGTGCACGTGAAAGGACATCAGAGGGGAGCATCAATGGAAATAAGGGGGAATAATTTAGCAGATTAAGTAGCCAGAGAAGCAGCTATAGAATCATCATCAGTAGTTTTATTGGTAACAACACCGGGGGATTATGAGAATTTAGCCCGAAATTTCACAGAACAAGAGAAGGATACACTTAAAAATAGGGAAAAAAAAAAAAAAAAAAAAGATCCAGAAGGAAAATGGACTTTACCAGATGGAAGGCAGATGTTAAATAAAACATGATCATGAGAAATTCTGTCATTAATACATCAGAAAATACATTGGGGAACGCAAGCACTTTGTGATCATTTTCTTAGACAATATGGGTGTATAGGAATATGTACGGTGGCTAAACAACTAGTTGATCGATGTCTAATTTGTTAAAAAGTGAACAAAAAGGTAATGAGAAAAAGGTGGCTGAGGAACAGGAGCTAGCAGTACAAAGCCTCCACGTAGACTTAACAGAGCTACCTCAAATACAAGGGTGGAAGTATTTGTTGGTATTAGTGGCTCACTTAACTCACTGGGTGGAAGCAATCCCCCACACCAAGGGCAATGGCAACCGTGGTATCCAAGGTGTTACTGGAAAACTTTATCCCCAGATATGGAATAATAGAATAGACTTGGACAGAGGAACACATTTCATTTTAAAAATTATGCAACAACTATCTGAAGCCTTAGGGATCGAATGGGCGTGGCACACCCCATGGCACCCTTGGAGTTCTGGGAGAGTAGAAAGAATGAATCAAACTTCAAAACAAACCTTGACTAAGTTAATGATTGAGACTCAGGTGTCTTGGATTAAATGCCTGCCATTGGCCTTATTAAGGATCTCAGCTGTGGGCTGCAACCCCACAGGCATGAGAGGTGGGAGTATGTGTTATACCGGACCTCTGCTAATCATCCTGGTACCGTTTGCTCTAATAGCGGCAAATCCGTGCAGCAAGTGCTTTACCGTTATGTCCAATATCAGAGTGTGGAAAAAGGTTGGATTTTTCTTCCTTTGTGCTATGGCAGGCTTACTGTTCTTACCATGTTTAATACCCTGTTTTATATGGCTAATAGCTCATGCTATTGAGGGGACTGAAGTAACAGGGTTGTCCTTAAACCCTGTTTAGGGTTTGGGGCTGTTGTTAAACCCCACGAGTCTGTGTGGTGATTGTTCTCCTCTCACGGACATTTGAACCCTCTGTCCGTATGCTTGCGGAGCGCCGATTAATTGCGTATAGAAACAAATTTTGTTCGTATTGTTTATCTGGAAGTCGCCGCAGCAGGAGTTTGGGGCTGTCCATGGGGGGTGCAGGACACCCCCGCACAAGCAGGGTAACGCCGCTCTCGTAAGCCCCTCGGAGGTGTCTCCTGACACCCCCCGGCGCCACAGGCCGGTGAGGGCCGCAGGGCCGGCCCTGGGCACGGCTGGGCCCGCAGCCACAGCGCTTCCGGCCCGGGCCCCGCCCCGCCCCGCCCCGGGCCCCGCCCCCGCCCCGCCCCGGGCCCCGCCCCCGCCCCGCCCCGGGCCCTGCCTCCTCCTCGCCCCGGGCCCGGGCCCGGGCCCGCCCCGCCCCGGGCCCCGCCCCCTCCCCGCCCCGGCCCCGCCCCCTCCCCGCCCCGGCCCCGCCGCCGCTTCCGCTTCCGGGAGAGGCGGCCGCAATGGCGGTGCTCGCGTCCAACCCCAACAATCCCGCGGTCTTTTTCGATGTCGCTCTCGGCGGGCAGGTGGGTGAGGGCGCTGCCGGGGGTGCGCGGGGAGGGAGGGAGGGGGTGCAGGGAGCGGGAGGGGCGCTAAGGGAGGGGGTTTGAGGGGCGCACGGCGGAGCGGCTGCTGGGGCTCGTTGGGGGTGTAGGAGCGCGGGGGGGGGTGCAGCGGGAGCGGGGTTCAGGGGCTCGCAGCGGGGGTGCAGAGGTGCAGGGTTGTGTGGGGAGGGGGCTCGCAGGGCTTGGGGGGGGGCGGCAGGAGGTTGGGGGGGTGGGAGCTCCCCGGGTGGGGAGACGGGTGGGTGGGAGCCATCTTCTGCAGGCCGCCCAAATGTAAATGAATTGTGCCGTACCCCCTTCTCCGGCAACACCAGCCGATCTCGCTGCCTAGAACAGCGTTAGTTCCGTTGCAGTTGAACACCCACGAACCCTTGTGAAAGTTCTTTCTCGAAGCCGATCGCCCTCGTTTTCCCTTGGCCGTCCCTCAGGCAGCCGCAGGGCTGGGGCAGGGCCGTTCCCTTCACCCGCAGCCTGCTGCCGGGCCGGGGGTGTTGGGAGAGGTGCCCGGTGCTGGTCCTGGCATGGGCTGGTGTCTTCAGGCGCTCTCCCTGGGGCTGAGGTTGTTTGGGGAAGCAAGGGCTTGAAAGGCTTGCTTGCTTGCCAAAAACCGGGTGTCTTTTCCCTGGGTTTGGAATCCAAACAGCTATGATCTCGATCGGTACATTTGAGATTCACAGAGATCTGGTGATGAAGGAAAAGCATCTGTCATTGAGCATTTTAATGGGATGCTCAGAAAGGAGATGTGGAGGTATTCTACAGCAGACAACATTTTTTACTAGAGTATTTGCTGCCAGAGTTCATAAAGAGCTATAACCAGAGCTTCCAGAGCACTACCAGAGTCAGGCCTGAAGATGTCTCCCCGGCCTCTGCTTAAATCTTTCAGTTATATCATTTATTTCATGCTGAGTATAATCCTCAGTCACATCCTTCCTTACTTGTTGCCCATTAGTACCCAATTCTGTTTTCCGTCTCCACACTGGTTTTACATCCACAGGTTCATCTGAGGAACCAGCCTCATCAGAACCTGTAGAATCCCAAATATCTCCATCCCATCTGTCAGGATCCCACTGTACCCCTGCTTCTGCAATCATTGCATGCACGTTCCTATGGTTTACTCGTCCCCTCCTTTTCTTATACTTACACTGTGCAACTCTTACTGCAGCTCTTCCAGCTACAGTCTGATAAGTATCCAACTTATCGGCAAGCAACTTGTTTTGACACTGTAACATTACAACTTGATTCTGCCAATCACACATCTGTCGCTCCATGTGGAAGCACTGTAACAACAGTTTTTCTTTCTGTTGGTGCTGTTTCCGATATGCTGTTAACAAAACCCATCCCTGCCTTCCCGAACACACAATTTCTTTTCCTTTTTCGATAGATAGTTTTTGGATATATTTAATACACCCAGTGGTTCAGCTTCTTTTAGCCGACTTTCCCACTGTTCACACAGTCCTCCGACCTTAGCCCACTCAAGAGCCAGTGAACTATAAGGAAGGTCTTCCCATCCAGGAATTTCAGATGGAGCTGATTCATTACATTTAGATTTAAAAAATGACATTTTGTTCTTATCCTGTCCGTGACGCCAAATTTGTTTTGCCAATTGACAGGGTTAACACAAAGGACACAGACACCAAGCTAAAGAAATAGGCTTATTTTATTTAGTTTAAAGCAGCAGAAAGAATAAGCAAGGTAATGCACCTAGACATGACTACATAAAGCTGGCTATAGTGATTAAGAAAGATCCATCACCAGTTGCCCTCCTACTTCACCGTCCCCCCGCCCCGTGCACCAGCTGGGGAGCCCCGTCCCAGCCAAGGGTCGCAGAGCCTGTCCCGGCAGCTGGGAAGTCCCACGCAGGGCGTCCGCTCGTAGGGGAGGTCTGCGTCTGTGCTGGGAGGGGGGCCGGCTTTTGTACAGATTAACAAACAGATCTGTACAAAATGCAGGGGAGATAGCTGGTAGATTGACGTGCCTCACTCAGGTGCGTCCGGATCTGGCCAGGATCCGGGAACGTCTGAGGAGTTTCTGGTTTTCTTTACATTTGGGATTTAGAGTTAGTTCCTGTTGTTTACTTACAGTTCCCAGGGATTGTTCCCAGGGGTGCATTTCACGCTGATAAGATGCTGGTTGCTGGTCGGGGGATTCACTCAGAAGTCAACTTTGGTTTGAGGCCTATTGTTTGGGCCTCTTTTTTGTTTCAATTGTGGATTTAGAAAAACTACAAATTATTTCCAGAACTCACTCCCCATGTAATTCTCCAGTTTTGCCAGTCCATAAGACGTATGGAAGATGGTGTTTAGCAATTGATTATCGGTGCTTAAATGCCAATACAGCCCCACTGACAGCTGCAGTCCCCAGTATTGCAACTTTGACAGCTACACTACAAGCCGCCACACATCCTTGGATGGCAGAGCTAGATGTGAAAAGATATGTTCTTCATGGTACCCTTACAGGAGGAGGATAAAGAAAAATTTGCTTTTACATGGGAGGGTATCCAATATACCTTTAACAGACTCCCACAGTGATATAAACGCTCACCCACAATTGCTCACGCTGCGCTTGCTGAACCTTTACAGACAGTGTTACTTCCTGAAGAGGTAAAACTATATCAGTATATAGATGATATTCTAATTGGGGGAAAATCTCCTAAAATGATGGGAAAAGCAGTAGCAACAGTTTGGCAAACACTGAAGGAAGGAGAAATTGAAATACCACCTGAAAAATATCAGGGACCAAGCAAAGAAGTGAAATTTCTGGGCACTTGGTGGAGTTCTGGAAGTGCAGCAACTCCACCTGATGCTCTAAATAAAATAAAACAATCACAAATGCTGCAGCCTAGGAAAGAATTACAGCAATTAATGGACACTTTAGGATACCGGAATAAAAATGTACCTGGATTCTCCAACATTGCCCGTCCACTGTATTCACTTCTACGAAAGGGAAAACTGTGGAAATGGGACTCAGAACATGAAGAAACATTCAAAACCATAATACAGGAATTAAAAACATATCAATCCCTGGGACTTGTCCATCCTCATGACCCTATTAGAGAAGAATGGGGTTTTACAGAATATGGTACTTAATGTAATTTATTTCAAACTGGCCCTGATGGACTGAAGAGACCTTTACTGTTGATCAGGACTTTATTTAAAGAGACAGAACGGAGGTATTCTGAGTGGGGAAAAGGTCTTCTGTCTTTAGTCTGTGCAATTAAACAAGTTGAGAAAATACGACATAACAAGCTGTTCAGACTAGAGGTCCATTTAATTTTGTAGACACAATTCTAAAAGAGACTGCTCCTCCAGAGGGAGTCACACCAAAACCTATAATCAGGAGATGGTATACCTCTTTAATGGGAATAGCAGACGAAATGCAGTTGACCGAAGGACATACAAAAATCTCTGAATTACAAATGCTGTAGTAACACTGACCCACTGGCATTACAACCTAGTCTGAGGGTCAGTTTACAATTTTGCTAACCACCAATTCTTCATTCCAACATATCCCCCTTCTTTGTTTTAGAATTTCATTTTCAAGGTGATTACTGCCGTCCATCACAGTTTGGCCTTCCACAATGTGGACAGGAGGCTTCATGTTCATCACAGGATGGCAAGTTGGCTGATTTGGTTGAAATTGGGGCCAAATAAGTGAAAGAAGTCATTGAAATCTGTCACGGTTTGATGCGGAAGTCTCGGACACAACATACACGATCAATGGGGTCAAGTTAATGCCACTTTATTAAAGGATACACAGCAATTTATACGCTAGCACAAAGCGCACGCGTTACGTTTTGGTTGCTAATAGGTTAAAGCTGCTTGTTCACACGCCTTGTTCTGCCGTACCTACATTCTGTTTCTCCCTCTTGTTATCTTGTTTCTTACATTCCAACCTCCTTACTTCTCTGCAACACAGACAGTTTCTCAAAACCCAACTTCCTTATCTTTTTCGACCTTGCATATGTCCTTCACAACAGCTGCAGTTGTGAGGCCCCTCGGTCTGCATCATTCATAATATGCCTATTTGCTTTCAGCCACTCCACAGAACTCTGTGCTTCCAGGGGACAATAAATGACCAAGAGAAACCTATTCCTGCAAGCACCAGCTTGGGGAAGGCTGCTCTGTCACTGGAGAGGTGAGAAGAGCCGAGAAGTGCCTGGTTTGGGGTGGGAAGTGCCTGGGCGAGGGGACATAAACTGGGGGGTTTGTGGTGCACAGCCAGGGATCACGGATTGGAGCCGAGACATGCAGGCAATGCAGAGAGGAGGCTGGTCTGGAACGGCATTTACAGCTCCGTTGCTTGGCCATCCAAGTGACAGGGTGATGATGGGACCACAAAGCAGCATCCAGAGGGTGACAGCAAAGACAACTACAAAGAAGGAATTCATGTTCATTGTCTTCATTGTGCAGGTATGATTTGGGGAAAGGCAAAGCTCACCTGGAGTTGGTTGCAAGCAAAGTCAAGAGCAAAATGAAGAGCTTCAGTCGCTCGTGAGAGACCAAGGCTGAACAAGGAAAATGCAGGGCTGCTGCTGAATGGGGAGGGCGAGTGAATAACAGCAGCCAGGGGTGGGGCTGAGGGACTCAGTTTGTCATTACTGAAAAGGTCTCCAGGCCTGTGTGCAAGATGGTCAGGGGTTAGAGCACCTGGCCTGTGAGCAGAGGCCAAGAGGCCATGAGGGAAGGCGGAAGACAATCTCATCACAGCTCACCTTTCCTATGAGAATATTCCTATTCATGGAGAATAAAGATCCAGGCTCTCCACAGTGGTGCATGCTGGAAGGACAAAAACAATGGGCAGAAGGTGCAAGAGGAGAGGTTCAGCCTAGACATAAGGAAAAACTTCTGCCCCATCTGCTCCATCAAGTGTTGGAGCAGGTTACCCAGATAGGCTGTGCAGTCTCTGTCCTGGGAGGTTTTCAAAATCCACATCGTTCAAGATTGAGCTGAAACACCTGGGTGTTTTTAATAAAATGGCAATGTTTTCCCACCATGGCAGAGTGTGGAAATTTCCAGGAAGTGCATTAATCATAGGAGAAGAAATACTAATCTCCTTCTGCCCTTGCATTGCCCCACCTCTAGTACACTATGTGTTTAATCTCTGTCCCCTTTCAGGTGTTCCCACCTCTCCTGATTAAGTGACCATGGCTAAGGGCATCCTGTCAGCACACAAGCCCTTCCCTTGGCTCTCCAGATTTCCCCCTCGCTTTGACACCAGCTGATGTGGATCAGAACCTGGTAGCTAACCTGCTCGAATGCTACAGTGCTCAATCTGGACTGGCAGGACCCACCGCTAACCTTTACAGAGCATGGGAGTATGTTTACCTGAAAATGCAGGTCATATTGGCTCTAACGATTAAGCAACAGAATAAAAGGCTGTCTTAATGCAGAAACCATGGCTGATTGAGAAATGAAGCACAGAAGAAACTAGCAGTATTTGGAATAAGAGACAAAAGGTTTGAACTTAAAACATTTATGCTTTAGTTATGTGACTTTAAAGATACAAAGTGAATTTACCTGCAAAAGCCATCTGTTTGGATACTATCTTGGATAGAAATCAGATTTTTCCAGTGCCATCATGTTTTCAGAAAACTGAAAAATGATGTTGTGACTGGAATGAAACTTTTATTACAAAAACCTGTCTTCAGTTTTTTCAGATCAAGTGATACAATTTGCCATATTTCTGAAATGTCCTTTACCCATTACTAGGTGGTTTCAATACCTGTAAAGCAGCTCATGGTCTGAAAATGCCTCTGCCTTCAGGGGGAGATGGAGGAATACCATATTATAGGAACAGTGTTCTCCTGTGGATTTTTCAACACTGGTTAAATGTTCAGCAAACACTTAATTGCTTTTCCAAAAGTACAAGGCTTTGTTCTAAGAACTTCTGATAATTACTGTAAGAACCTGTTCTTTATTAATCAGGAGGATTTGAAGAGTAATTGGATTGAACATGTAAATATTTGCTCTAAGTATTTTTAAAAATTTATTTGAATAAAAGCAGAAATACAACTTGATTACTGGAGCTGGGTTGTTCTGTTTGGTTTTTCTTTGAAGGTATGCATAACTTCCTCAGTGCAGTATCAGAAGTTCTTGGAGTTAAAACATTTTCATAATTGGTCATTTTTTGAATTTCACTATTGCTGAATGTGGGTATTGTGCCAGCAGTAGCTGTATATGAGCCCAGACTGAACTGTTTTGTTTGCTAGAAGGCGTTCAGCATGTTGCTCCCGCATGGAATGAAACATAGATTCTAGATATGGAGACTTAGCTTTAACAAGATAAATTTGAAATAAAATATGTAGAAGTTCCTGATTTACAGACAGCAAGAATGCAGTCTTGCGAGATCTGGATCGGTTTCTATGAGTCTTTTCTTTATTTTTCCTTCCCTGCAACATTTAATCAAATGTCTCATTGGTTGAGTTTTTGGGTTTTGTGGGGTTTTTCTGTTTTGTTTTGTTTTTTAAACTATGTTCAAAAAAATAAGTATTCAGTGATACAAAAGCCTGATTGATCCTGAAGGCATACCTGATTGCTTTTAAAGGACTAATTGTTATCATCATTCATTATTAATATTGTTATTATTGATGTTGTTAGTATTAGTCTTAAGGCTTGGAGTCCATTTAGTTGAAGTATTTGTTTTAATTTTTTTGCATGTTAAGTGTTGGCATTATTTTAACTGACAAAGCAGAATGTAGCAAAAGTTGTTTCTGTGTAGGACACTTGTTGGATGATGAGTCTTGCTGTCTGACTGCCATGCCAGCTGAGTTTGACCAACACAGAAAACTTCTTTGAAAGTCACACATTGGCATAGTTACACTGAAATTCATGAGACTTTGACAATGTACAATGAATGCTTGTGTGCTGACTTCTCTACTGATCTGTGCTCACAAGTGGCTTTTTTTTTTTTCCTAATTTTTGTTTGTTTTTCAGATGACAAATATCTGGTAAAATGCTCCAGTACAGCATCACAAATATGCATGGAATGGAAGTGGTTGAAGGGTATGATGGCTATGCTACCTCCATATTTGTCCTCCCATCACTGTTGTCTAAGTTACTTTGTCAACAGTTTAAGGAAAGTACTGGCAAGTTGGACAGGGACTTGAGACGGACACAAGAATTAAGAAGTCTAAAGATGCTGTTGAAGTTCAAGGCGTTTGGACTGCAGAGAGGTGAGGTGGAATGAGATTGAGTTAGACACTGGAAAATTGGGGCTAACAGGAGTTCTTGAATCTGTCAGACAGTGATAACCAGCAGCTTGTGGTAGAAAACAGATGTACCTGAACCTTAAAAAGGGTTTATGTTTTTAACAGGGAAGATAATTAACACTGAAGCTACATAAAATTCTCCACTGATGAGTAGTTAGATCAAGTTTAGAGTCTTTAAAAAATAATTCAGTTTAAAGAACATGATCACATCTAAACTCTCCTGTGGCCTGGACTGTACAAAAGGTCAAAGCAGATCAAAGGACTCCTCTATTGTAGCATCTGAAAAAAACTTCTAAGCTAATGTTCAGAACAAAGCTGTTCTTTTCGGAAGCATTTCAGCTGACCTTGCTTCTTGGATAGTCTTATGTTTCCATCAGTTGGACTGTTATTGCTGTGGAGCTGTACTTATTCCAACTATTTTACATTTGTTTAGCAGCTTCACAGTGGAGACCTTGAAGACTCTGGAATTGCTCACAAGACAATTTGCCATCGAAGAACAAGCATTTCCATGCTGCCTCTTCCACTGCTTTGAAGTAACATATGAGGTGTTTCTGCTTTCAAGTTTGAAAGAGTATTTTTAGTGAAAGAAGCCTGATGGAATTATAAAGGAAGACGTGTACAGTGTGTTTCCCTTTCAGTGGATTGCTATCGAAGTTGTAATTATATTCTGAACTTAGTTTAACTAGAACTGCATTCCAACACAGTTTACTCACTTTTCTCACTTGAGCATCTACCTTTCTTACAGCCTTGTTCATCCTAGAACTTCTGACCCTTCCCAGAAATGTAGTTTTCTTGTCTATGGCTTGACCCTTGAAGCCCCAGTTCTGAATGATGTAGTTGTTGACTGGTATGTTTCAAGCAAGAAAACAAATAATGGGGTTTTCATCTTCTGTATATGAGATGGAAACTAATCCCAGGGGACAGCAGAGACCTATAACTTCTTAAAACTCTTCTAAACTGCCTGGACAGTTGGGCTGTTGCCACTCTTCCCACTGATAGGCTTTATGGAATAGCGAGGAGATGAAGACGGAGGGCCTTTCTCTTCCCTGTGGTGCTGGGGGGCGTGCACTTCAGCTCAGAAGTCAGCAGCCCACAGGCCAACAGTGTTTCCAGTGTGAGTCCAACTCCTGGTCAGTGGCGAGGAGGTGCTGCTTGGGAGGAATGGTATTTAACTACAGCCAGCTGGGTCCCGGTGCAGTTTGGTGTCCAGTGATACTACCTGCTATTCGAAGTCCTTGAGTTTACATGAACCTCCTGCAAATCAAATGTCTTCAGCATCCTTGCTACAGAAGTGGCTGCCAGCCCCCCCTGCAGCATAGTTTAATAATGTTTCCTGTATGTCTTTAAAACTGGAGAGCCCAGAAGGGATTTAGTGGGAGCTGTTAGCTGGCGTAGGAGACTTGCTCTCCCGTGTTAGTGATGTCCCTGGCTTGGCTCACAATCTCAGCATTCCGGATCAATTCTCATTGAGTCCCATCCAGAACTGAGTATAGATTTTGAGGTGAGGAATGTGACCCTTAGCTGCAAAACAATCTTTGTGAAAAATCATCTACCATTTAGTCAGTATTTTAGAAGGAGTATTAACTTTTCAGAAGCTCTTAAATACACACTGGTATTGTAGTGTGCAGTTCTGAATAACGGCATCTGTTTGGTTTTCTCCTTTACACTGTCAGTGTGCTCAGCATGTTTCTCTTTAATGAATTTTCTTCTTTCTTTCCCTAGCTGTATTCATATTCTTATTTGCCCACCACCTGCATGACAAGTGTTTTAGCCACCCACGGGGTGCTGATAGGAAGTGGCTCCTTCCTCACTGTTTCTTCGCGGGGCTCTGCAGACTCGTGAGGCTTGTTAGAGTCTGCATTTTTGTCTTGGTTAGGAAATGGTCATTGGTGCCTTTTGCCTAGCGCAGAGAGCAGTGTCAGCTGCTAAAAGTGGCAGAAAGAGGAGGGCATGCCCTGGGCCTCTAGACTGCTTCAGTGCTTACTGAAGAGAGGGGGGAAAGCCCAGGGGAAAAACTGGGGCTGGTGGGGAGAGGAGGGCTGAGGGGAGAGGAGGGCTGAACATCCCCTGAGGCCACCCAGCTCCAGCTGGGGCAGGACGGGCCTGGCGAGCCTCAGGGCTGTGCTCACAGGGCGGCCAAGTGGCTCTGGCAGAGGCCAAAGACTTCTGGCCTCCCCGACGCCGCAGCCCTCCTTCCTCGGAGGAGTTTGTGTGGTGTCACGAAGCATGGGGCTGTGCTTGCTTTCGCTGGGGAGGGGCCAGGTGCCTTGTGTAGTGTTCCCTTTGCACTCCTGCTGTGCCCCGGTCCCCACTTGTCGGCTTTTCCCATCAGGCTGCCACAGCACCCCCAGAAATCCTCTTGATCCTCCCCTCCGCTGTCCTGGCCGCACGTAGCCAAGGCTGTGCTGCTTCCCAGCACTGCAGTGGGCACAGCACCAGCTCCTGCCTGCACAGCTCCTTGCCTCAGGCTCTGATTGCTGAAGAGTGCACAGCTGAAAGCAGAGTGGAGAGCTAGTTTTAGAGCTTGGCTGTGTCTTCTCTCAGCTGAGCAGAAGAATCTTGTGCTCTGTCTGTCTGTATCTCTCTCTGTCTTTCTCCTTTTTTCCAGATGTTCAAACGACTGGCAACACAGGATGATGCATCAGCTGTCGTTGGAAACAATATACCATTTACCAATATGCTGGTGTCTGAGAGCAGGGAAAAGGCATGCTTTTCACCATAGCTTAAGCCTGAGAGGGTGGTGTCTTTTTTTTTTTTTTTTCCTGTGCTGTTCACTTAAAAAAATACATTCTGTGTCATAAAACCCTACCTGCCTAACTTTGCCTTGTAACAGTAGTGACTATAAATGCTGAGGAAATGAGCGCTCCACCTTTTATCAGAGAAATCTCTTTGTATTTGCTACGTAATACAAGGAAGGGGTATCTGTGAGGCACATAAATGAAGACCTGTTCCAAAGCGCCAGGTAAGGCTGTGGGAAGGCTCAACTGCTTGGTAGAGGCTTAGCATCTGCTGTGAAGCCTGCAGAGCAGCAACATGTATTACAGTTTTGTGGTTTGTTTGTAATTACTGTATCAAGCCACTTTGAATTGAATGTGTGATTATCTGTGTATCTGGCAAGTGCCAGAGATACCTCGATTGATCTGTGGTATGTGGCCAGCTCATGTCCAAGAATTCCGTAGGTCTTCATTTCCTGGGGTTTACTTGATAACTCCTTGCTAAATAAGGCTGGAAATGATTTTCTGTTGCCAAATTCTGTTGTGGCTGTTGAACTATCTATATTAAAAAAACCCAAACCAAAACAAAAACAACCAACCAAAACCCACAACAACAAAATGGGGAAAGTAATTTCCCTTCCTCCTGTGAAATACCTATAGTGTTCATGTGAATGTGTAATAAACATAAGAAATATAAGCAATGTCATAATAACTGTAACTTTTGTTGTAGTCCTCATGGTACTATACAGCCAGTTGTGGGAAACAGTAAATGTGTTTGTGCTTTTTGTTCAGTGGTTAGGCTACTGTTTGGAGATGTACACCACTGCCCTTCTGTATGGTCCTACGTTCTGGGCTAGGATTCCCAGGGCTGTTCCCTGTTTCCTCATGGGAGAACAGCCAGAATAGCTCAGTAGTATCTGGTAGCCCCAAGGCAGGGGCCTCCATGAGCTCCCTTTTCAGTTGTTGGAATGCTCTTTCTGCTCCCCTGTTCCAGGTGAGGTCTTTCTGACTAGATTTCAACAGTTCATAGAGTGGCCTTACCTGGAGTCCGTAGCTGTATAGGGTGACACCATCCTGTCATTCCTAGGAACGTGGGGAGTTCTTTAGCTCTCTGTGGTCGAGGGGTCTGACAGATAGCCGCCTTTCTTGCTGTGCCTAGAGACCTCTGACCTGCAGTTACCTCGTATCCGAGGTAAGTCACCTGCTGCTGAGCCACTTGGGCTTTCTGTGGAGAGACTCGATAGCCATTAAGTCTGAGGAGATTTAGCACACTGACTGTCCATACTATACATAGTTCTCTCATTTATCTGGCTGTCAATAAACTATCCACATATTGTAGTATTACTCCAACTCCATGTGGTCACTCCCACCGCTCCTAGTCTTTGGATAATTGGTTTCCGAAAAGAACGTGGGCTATTTTTAAACCCCTGTGGCAACACAGTCCATGTTAGTTGGGCCTTTCTCCTAGAGTCAGGGTTTTCCCATTCAAATGCAAATAGCAACTGACTTTCTGGGCTCAAGGGTAGGCAAAAGAAGGTGTCTTTCAGGTCCAGTATGATAAACCAGATCAATTCAAATGCCAGTTTAGTTAAGAATGCGTATGGGTTTGCCACGACGATCTTCAGCAGTCTTATTAATAGCTGTGAGATCCTGTACTCTTCAATAACTCCCATCTGACTTTTTGATTGGTAGAATGGGAGTGTTGTACTCTGATTCACACTCTGTTAACAGCCCAAATTGAATGAATCAGTCGATGATTGGTCAGATTCCTTCCCTGTCTTCTGCATATGGAGGTATTGCCTAATTCTTATGTGCTGCACCCCTGGTTTAAGCCTAACTATTATTGGGGAGGCATTTTTTCGCTCTCCCGAGTATCTCAAGGCCCATACCCCCGGATATTCCTGGTTCTGAACTTCCTCGGGTATTCCTGAGATAACAGGAGTATCTATAAGGGCCAGACTCAAAAGTTCAATCTAGTTGGTCATCTCCTACTCAAAGTTCCATTTTTCTTCTCTCAAATGTTATTTTTGCTTTTAATTGTTGCAATAGGTCTCTGCCTAATAAAGGTTTCAGCGAATTAGGCATATATAAGAATTTGTGTATTCCCAACCGTTTTCCCAATTTAAATTTAAGAGATTTTAAAAAGTATGCCTCTTCACTTTAGCCAGTAGCTCCCCTTACCGTTACGAAATTATCATCCATAGTTGTTAAGCTTGATCCAAAACTGAAAATGTTGCCCCTGTATCTACTAGAAATTCTCTACTCCGTTGTCATGTCCCCAGCTTTAATGTAACAGTGGATCCGGGTAGGCCCCCCCAGGTCCCCGTCGATCTTCTTTAATGTGGGCCTGTATCCTTCCTTTCTGTTCCTGTCTCTGGTCATTCATTTTTCCAATGTCCACATTCTTTACACCATGCACACTGGTCTCTTCCCAAGGGCCTTTTAGGTCCCACGCTCTTGAATTCTTTTCTTTCTTGTAACACCATTACCAACACCCGCCAGTCTCTTTTTTGGCTATCCTCTTCCCTGTTGCTAAACACCCTCTGTGCCTCATCTAGTAAAGTCTCCAGGTTCCTGCTTTCTGCAGGCTTCAATTTCTGCAACTTCCTCCAGGATGTCGCTTGCTGATTGTCTGATGAACAGAGACCCTGACCGCTGAATCCCTATTTCTGACCCTGGGTCTAGAGGAGTATGCCGCCTCATAGTATCCTGTAATTTATCTAAAAATTCAGAGGGGGTATCCCTTGGACCTTGCCAAGTGGCATATAAAGCTGAGCAATTAATTGTTTTCAGGGTAGCCCGCTCCATTCCTCTTCCAACCCAATCTCTGTATTCAGCAATCTTATGTGTGCCCCTCTGTTAGGGTTCCAACGTGGGTCTTG